TCACTGTGTACAGTTCCGGTCTCTGTATCACACTGGGAGTCACTGTGCACAGTCCCGCTCTCCATATCACACTGCTCCAGTCTCTGTATCATACCGTATCCCCCCACACTCAAAGGCAGCACCTTCCACACCCTCATTGTTCAATTGACCCTGCCTCTCCCGCACTCTCAGGCAGCACCTTCAAGACCCTAACCACTCGCTGCATGAGAGTGTTTTTCTCTCATATCTCCATTGCGTCTTTCACCAATCACATTCCATCTGTGTTCCTTTGATTCCCTATCCTCCCGTGAACAGGTACGTTTCTCTCTCTCAACTCTATCCAGATCCCTCATGATTTTGAACCCCTCCATCAAATCCCCTCTCGATCTTCTCTTCTCTGAGGAGACCCAGCCCAGCTTCTCCAATCTGACCACGTCACTGTGGACTCATCGGTCAACATTCATCCATCGTTGTCAATCTATTTTGCATCCTCGAATTCCGTCACAGTGGCCAGAGACAATAAGCCAATTGAGGTTTTATCCAGATTTATCATAATCACAGGAACATTATGTTACAGCAAGAAGCGATCAGCTCATCGCGTCTGCATCAGCTCTCCGAATGAGCATGAGGACATAGTGCCAATCTCCTACCTTTCCCCCATAATCTCACACACTATTTCTGTTTAAATAATCATCTAATAGCCTCTTGAATGGCACAGTTGAACCTGCCTAATTCAGACCTGAACTCCTCAGTGTGAAAATGTCGCACCTGTTTCAGAAACACTTGCTTAATGGGCAAATGACTTTTAAACTGTACCTGTTGGTTCTCAATCCTTTTATGAATGGGATAAATTTCTCCTTATCCTGATGATTTTTATAACTTCTTTCAGAACTCCTCTTAGCCTTCTCCTCTGCAAGGATTGTCCTAACCTTTCCCAATTTATTCTCATAACTGAAGGTTCTCATCCATTTTTGTAAACTTCTTGTGCGCTCTCTCCTGCTCTCATCCTGCTTAAAGTATGAAGCCCACAACTTTTGCACAGTACTCGAGTCGAGGTCTAACCAGTCTTGGACAAGTCCAGCATCACTTCTTTGCTTTGTACTCTCTGCCTCTGTTGATAAAGCCCAGAATCAGAATTGCCAGCAGGAAAGGATAAAGCACTTTCTCAACATACCTTTTGATGCTTTGAACTGTTCTCCTACTGGTGCTTTGTGTAAAATCAGGCTAGACACTGCATCTCTCCTGTACGTTCACACAGAAACCAGCTGAGCAATTTGGGAAGATTGGTTGAGGTCCCTTTTGATAAAGGATAGTTCCACTGTAGTTGTGTTTATTCTTTTCCAATTATCCGAACAAACTATTTTTTAAATGCTTTTGCAGCCACAGTGAAAGGATGTGCTAATGTCGAGGGGTGATAAGATTGCTGTTCAACCAGGCAGCAAACGAGGAGCAATGAATGACACTCGATCTGTTTTGCTCAAAATGAATTGAAGAATTTCAGCGCTCCAATATTTATTGCCGAACCTTAACATGAATGTCTATTGATGTAAATGGTCTTTTAATGTTGGTAACATTGTCCTGGTGACCAGGGCTAGAGGTCTGTATATTTTGTAAGTATTAAATGTTGCATGGATTGCAAATGCATCAGCATGTCTCTATTTAACAACACTTCGATGGCAAAGGATACCTGCATTGTGCTTGAACATAATTAGCTCATCTGAGCCTCTGCTCACCCTGACATCCTCACAAGCCCATCAAATACTATTCACGCAGGCTGTTAACTCTGGTATGTACTGGTTCACTGCTCAATACTGCCTCAATGTTCATATTCTCCACTTTTCTTCCCAAATCCATCCATGGTCTTGCTCCTCCCCTTCGCCCTCACTCCTCCCCTTCTCCGTAACCTCCTCCAGCCCCTACACCCCTCCCTATCTCCGTAACCTCCTCCAGCCCCTACACCCCTCCCTTTCTCCGTACCCTCCTCCAGCCCCTACACCCCTCCCTTTCTCCATACCCTCCTCTCGCTCCTACACCCCTATCTCTATAACCTCCTCATCTCTGTAATTTGCTTTAGCCCCTGCACCTGTCTCTCCCACATTCAGCACCCTTCCAATATTCAATGCGGTGCTGTTGACAGCCCTGGCCTCCCTAAACCTCTCCAGCTCTCTCTCCTAGAATGAGGGTGCTTCAGCACTCTGCCTGGATCAACATTTTCAAACAACTGTCCAATAAGACCCAAATGCCAGCTCTTGCTCCACAGAGCGACAAAGGTAAATCAGTCCTCTGTTGTAACAAATCGAAAGCACATACCCTGTATGAAGAGTACAGACAAGGGTGGAGGGCACTGATGGGGACCGTAAGTGGCAAGTAGGTGAGGGGGCTTGTGTAGTACTGGAGGGTGAGGGTGGAATGTAAAGGGTGAGAGTTGGATCGGAGGGGGAAGACGGAGTGTAGCATCAGGGTGTCGGGGAGTGTACGATCCGGCGGTGGGGGTGGGGGTGGGGGGTGTGCGGGGAAACGGGAGTGTAGGGGGACGAGTGTTGGATCGGGAGGGGAGTGTCGGATTGGAGAGTAGGAGGAGTGTAGGATGGGGGCTAAGGCGAACTGTAGGATCGGAGTGGGGGGTTAGTTTAGGATCGGGGGTGAGGGGGAAGTGTAAGATCAGAGGGGGAGGGGGGAGTGCAGGATCAGGGGTGAGGGGAGTGTATGGGTGGGGAGGGAGTGTAGGGGGAGTGTAGGATTGGTGTGGTATGGGGCAAGTGTAGAAGCAGAGGGGGAGCGGCGAGTGTAGGATTGGGTGGGGGTGTGAGTGAGTGTGAGGGCTGAGTGAGTGAGGGCTGCAGGAGGAGTGAGCAGATAAGTGAGTGAGGATGACACTGAGGAAGATGTGAGTAAATGGGTGAGGGCTGATGGAGGGAGTTAGTGAGGGAGGTTTGAATTAACAAGGGAGCGAGTGAGGTCAGAGAGGGAATGTGTGAGGCCTGATGGAGTGAATGAGATCAAAGGGAGGGAGTGTGTGAGATCTGGGGGAGATGGGGAGGTCTGAGTGAGGGAGTGAGATTTGAGGGAGGGACTGAGTGAGGTCTGAGAGATTGAGTGATTGAGGTCTCAGAGTGAGTGAGGTCTGAGTGAAGATTGAGTGTTGGAGTGAGTGAGTGAGGTCTGAGTGATTGTGAATGAGGTGGTTAATGGGTTGTGAATGAAGGAGTGAGTTGTGAATTAGTGAGAGGTATGAATAAGTAAGTGAGGTGAGAGCGAGTGATGAGACAATGAGGCAGTGAAGTGAGCAATGAATCAGGGAGTGAGCAAGACGTGAAGTTCAGTGTGAATGACCGAGTGAAATATGAACGAGTAATTGAGTGAGTGAGGTGTGTAAATGTGAATGCGTGATTGCATTGAAAATGAGGGTGTGAGTGAGGTGGGATTGAGGTGTTAATGAGGGACTGAAAAGGGGTGAATAAATGAGGAAGTGAACAAGGGAGAGGGTGTGAATGTGCAAGTGAGTTGTGAATGAGGGTGTTAATGAGGGTTTGAGTCAGTGAGGTGGGAATGAAGTGTAAATGAGTGAAGGAGTGATTGAGGTGTGAATGAGTGATTGATCCAAGTGAGTGATTGAGGGTGTGAGTGAGGATGAATGAGGGCGTATTGGTGGAGTGAGTGACATGTGAGGGAATGAGTGAGGATGTGAATGATTGAGTAGGTGTGAATGAGTGATGAGTGCTTGAGGGTGTGAGGGAGGGAGTGAGTGAGTTGTGAATGGGGGCAGAGTGATTGAGCGGGAGTGAGGTGAGTTAGCTATGAGTGAAAGTGGGTACATGAATAAGGGAGTGAATGAGTGTGTATGAGGGTGTTAATGGGGGAGTTAGGGAGTGAATGAGGGTGTTAATGTGGGGTGAATGAGGGTGTTAGTGGGGGAGTGAGGGAGTGAATGAGGGTGTTAATGGGGGGAGTGGGAGTGGGAGTGAATGAGGGTGTTAATGGGGGAGTTAGGGAGTGAATGAGGGTGTAGGGGAATGAATGAGGGTGTTAATGGGGGAGTGAGGGAGTGAATGAGGGTATAGCGCAGTGAATGAGTGTGTTAATGGGGGAGTGAATGAGGGTGTTAATAGGGGTGTGAGGGAGTGAATGAGGGTGTTAATGGGGGATTGAGGGAGTGAATGATGGTGTGAGGGAGTGAATGAGGGTGTTAATGGGGGAGTGAGGGAGTGAATGAGGGTGTAGGGGCGTGAATGAGGGTGTTAATGGGGGAGT